CCGATGGAGTTTTGGTTCCTTGCCGCTGTCGCCTCTGGCTTGCTTAGTTGGGGACACTTCATTTCCAGCGATACCGTTGACTTGATTGCAAAGATACTATTTAAACTGAGCTGGATGTTGACATCACTGAATTCAATGATGAACTGTCTTTAACTGAAAAATGAGTGTTTACTATTGTCATTTTGCATTATTGACACACTATTTTCCTAATTAATGCTGTTCAGTTGCTTTGACACAATCTGTATTGTTAAAAGCGCTATATAAATAAAGGTGACTTGACTTGTGAAGGAAAGATGTGTTAGGCCGAGATAAATATCTGAAATGCAAAGGCGAAGAATGGTTAGAATGGTCACAGACCACCTAGAGCTCCAAGAACATCTTGCTGCTGATGACATTATCAGTGGATAGGGTGATGTGGAAAAAGCCTTTTCTGTGTGCTGCCAACAAGCAGAGTCGTTTGAGGTATGCAAAAGCTCATCTGGACAAGCCAGAATTATTTTGGAATAATGTGTTGTGGACAGATGAAAGTTATTTGGTCACTTTGCATGGCGGAAAAATAACACTGCGTTCCAAGAGAAGAACTTGCTCCCTACTAGTAAAATTTGGTGGAGGGTCCATCATGCTGTGGGGCTGTGTGGCAAGCACAGGTACTGGAAACCTTGTCAGAGTTGAGGGTCACATGTATTCCATCCAGTATCAGCAGATTCTCAAAAACAATGTTCAAGCATCAGTTGAGAGGTTGAAGTTATGCTGGGGATGTTAGTTTCAGCAGGACAATGACCCAGAGCATTGTTCCAAATCTACCAAGGAATTCATCCACAGATACAATGTTTTAGAACGGCCATCCCAGTCCCCAGACTTGAACATCATCGAAAATCTATGGAATGATTTAAAGCGGGCTGCCCATGCTCAGCAACCATCCAACCTGACTGAACTAATGACATTTCGCAAGGAAGAATGGTTCAAAACACCGAGATGGTCTTCACTGCAGAACACAAGATCCAGGGGGCGTGGTTAGATCCAGATTCAACCCCTCCCACCTTACACATACCTAAACCTACCCGTCTCCACCCCCTAGATGTGGATCCACCCACGCCCCCTGGATCTTGTGTTCTGCAGTGAGGGGCTACTGAAAATACCTGCAGACAGGATTCAGGGTCCCATCAGTGGCTATAAAAAGCATCTACAAGCTGTTATTTAAAAAAGGTGGCTCTAGTAAATATTGATGCCATTATTCCATTGGGGTGCCCACATTTTTGCACCTCAGTGCTTTTATGATTCACATTGCATTGTTTCTATTGATTCAAAAAATGTTACTTCAGAACTTAAATGCTACTGTCTCCATAAGATATATCCAAATGAAGATGATGCTGCTTCGAAAGCCCAGCAGCTTATAAATTAAAATGATGATAATTATCAGGGGCGCCCAAACTTTTGCATAAAACTGTATTATGTGAAAACATACACACATATATTGCACATATGCATTTAGTGTGGGTTTAGGGTTAACGAAAACTAGATACATAATCACAAGCTACAGAAAAAATACCTATGCATTATTTATATACACATATGAACATATGTATATTATATTGTTTTAATTAATAATATATATTAAATTGTGCAGTATGTATACATGTCTTTCTAAGCATTAAAATATCTTATATTAGTCGATCACTATTTAACATATGAACACTCGTCATTCCTTTTTATTTCATTAAGAAATGAAGAGCAACTTCAGAAACAGAACAAAAGCATGCTTCTTCTACAATGAATGTTTTATTTTTTTCCTTTACAAAACTCACTGTCTTCTAGAAATCGTTACAGTATACAAGAGAAAAACAAGAGGAGAGACATTTGCAGTTGAACGCCTGGTTGTCAACAGCCAGTCCAATAACAGAAGTGATAATATAGCAATAATAAATGATAACTGCAATAATAGTAACTCGATCATGGATGATAAAGCTTTAAACCAAATGAAATCACACTCGCTCCTTGCTGCCAGAGGCTTCTTTATATTAAACCAACATTAACACTGATTTCCCTCAGATCTTCATAAGAATACAAGGGATACGAGAGCTATATACTGGATATGATTCATAGTGGAGTAAAATACAAAAGAACAACAAAAAAAGGGTTACATAGCATTTTATTTCAATTGCTTTCAGCCAGTTTTGCCTTCATATTAGTTTCTTCATTACTGATATGTGACATACTTTCATGGATGTTTTCTAATTAGTGTCTAAGGCACTTGTTAACGTGTTCAATATTTCCAGTTGCTTTCAGCGATCTCTCATTGACGTCTGGACCATTTCAAAAATCTTCCTTCAAGTTCCAATAAACTTGCTTCGGTGGCCGTTTCACTTGTAGTGAATCTAATAGAGCAGCTGGATTTGAGAAGTACCATCATACTGTCACATATACGGGGGAAAAAAACCCTAAAGAGATTACATATGTAAAGTCATACTTAATATATACTTAAGAATACTTAATATTTCCAGTTGAAGAGGCCATTATGGCTTTCTCACAATGTGCAGTTAAAAGGCGATTCGCAATTACATCCAAATTCCCAAAACGCAAACCGCCTCCGTCAGCTAAATCTCCCAAATAAGATCCAACAAGCCTCGAGTTAAATGAAGATAAACGCCGTCACCCGCCGGATTCCTTGTGTTTTAACTATTTCATGTGTTTAAATGTTAATGAGATGCTGAAGCGAGCAGCTTTTTCACAGTTTTTCTTTTTCTTTTCTGGTCCGTTTCAGATCCGGTCCAGTGCCACAGGACTTTTTTTTTTTTTTCTTGTAGCGAACGAGCAGCACATGCATCTCGATCGATCCAAAATCTGCAGACCGTGTCTATTTGGAGAACTGTACTGTACAACTAAGATCCAATCCGTCACGTTTGCTTAGCTAGCTGACGGTTTTACATCATTAAACTAGATTGGAGTGAACACTTTCATTGCACGCTCTTATGAATGAGAATATTCATGTACACAAAGCAAAGTTTGACATTTGAAATGCACTTCTATAGTGTTCTGTCGTGAGCATGGTATTTTGTAGGCTACAGTTGCATGAAACACTAATTGGCGTGTGTACGCTCGGTCTTGAAGCATCTTGTATTTAGAATAAGGCAGAGTCGATGCTCCCTTGGTAGGGAGGGGATAGAAATGGAGGTTTGAGGGTAGCTTATGTCTGAGTGTGTGTGTGTATGTGGAAGTGTTAGTGTAGTTGTGTTTGCATTGCTCACTGGACCCCACATTGCTAAAGGAGAAGAATGAGGTGCTGGAGAGGAGGAAGCAGTGGGGCTGGGTGACCACAGGAGGGCGCTGTGCTCTACTCCGCTTGAGCCGGCGGGGTCTCGTTCAGGTCGCTGGCCTTGCTGTCTGCGTCCTCATCAGAAAATTCCCCTTCCATCTGCAGCTGCCTGCGGCCAGAACGGCTTGAGGAGAAGCTAACAGGACCTCCTCGCCTGCAGGAGAGAGTGAACAAGGCATTAGAGCGCATTACCCAGCACGCTATTAGTCATATACTATTATATTGTTAATATTTTAAATGATCTTTTATTCTTAAATTTGTAGCTTTCATTTTTAATTTGAGTAATTTTGTTATATTTCATAATTTTTATTTTTTTAAATACTTCTATTTAGCACAATTTTTTTATCACAGTTTATTAATTTTATGAGCTTTAGTCATTTTTATTCGTTTTTTAAAAATATTTCTATTTACCATTTATTTATTTTATTTTGCTTTAGTAATTTTATGTGCATTTGTCATTTTTTATATTTGTATTTAGCATTCATTTCTTTTTTATTTCAGCTTTAGTAATTTGTCAGGTGCTTTCGTAATTCTTTTGCTTTTTAATAGTTTCATTACGCATTAATTACGCATTTCGTTTTAGTAATTTTGTTATGTGCTTGTCATTTATATTAGGTTTTTACAAATATTTCTATTTAGCATTAATTCACTTTTATTTTTAGTTTTAGTAATTGTAGTACTTTAACTTAAATGAAAATAGATGTTTTCCCATCTATTATTTATATTTTATTTAATTTCAGCCTTAATTTCAATTTCTGAAAATGATTTTTAATAGCTTTAGGTTTTGTTAACAATAACACTGACACAACCAACAAATGTACAAATTTTTTTACAACAGTTGTCTGAAATGGCAGTGAATATCAGCACCATTATGCTGCTCAACTGACTGCACTGAGGGTCTGACCACTTCCTGCATCATTATTAAACAGTAGGACATGACATGAATGCACAAATAAACAGACGTACTTATACAAGGATCTAAAGTATTGCAATATGTGATTGTATTGGCACAGCCCCTGTGTACCTGAGGCGGTTTTTGAGAGTGTTGACCTCTCGGCTCAGACCCTCACTAGCTTCGGTGGCATCATCCAGCTCTCTCTGCAGCTTCCTGCGGGAGGTGTTAGCTCGAGTCGCCTCTTCCTCAGCTTCCTCCAGCTGCCTCTTCAACTGCTTCATGCGGGAGTTTGCCTTCTCCATCTGAAGAAAGACAGAAATTCTGAGTCTCTGATTTCTAAATTGCCTCCACTATAAATGATAGGATGAGAGAGAATTTAGCTGAGAGCCAAGTGGGATATAAAGCAGTGGTTCTCAACCTATTTGACTCCAAGGTATAACTTGTAATAATTGAGCAGCACATCGGCATATTAGAATGACTTCTGAAGGATCATGTGACACTGAAGACTGGAGTAATGATGCTACAAATTTAGATTTGCCATCACAAGAATAAATTACGTTTTAAAATATATTCAAATAGTACACAGCTATTTAAAACTGCAATAGCATTTCACAATATTTTTGATTTAAAATATTTAAATCAATTGATTTTTAAATCAAAAATATTGTGAAATGCTATTGCAGTTTTAAATAGCTGTGTACTATTTGAATATATTTTAAAACGTAATTTATTCTTGTGATGGCAAATCTAAATTTGTAGCATCATTACTCCAGTCTTCAGTGTCACATGATCCTTCAGAAGTCATTCTAATATGCCGATGTGCTGCTCAATTATTACAAGTTATACCTTAGAGTCAAATAGGTTGAGAACCACTGCTTTATATCCCACTTGCTGCCTTGTGACAAGTTTATCCACAAAAGCAGTCCAGTACCTTGGTAGCAACGTTTTGGAAAAAACTAATGGAAATGCTGTAAAACCAGCAAACCACTTTGAAACGGGGAACTTTAGAGTTTTCCATTTTATACACAAGAAAATGTTGTCTGAAGCTTGGAAAGTGGAAACTCCGTTTAAGTTATTCTGCATTTATTCAGCATAAGCAACTGGGGACTTCTACAATTTGAGAACAAAGTTTAGGATTTGGGCTTCATTCACCTGCTCTTTGTACTGGTCTGCATGGCGCCGCTCATCCTCCACTTGCATGAACACCTCCTTGAGTTTCTTCTCTGTGCGGCGCACAATCTTATTGGCTGCAGCTCTCTCCCTGTTGAGCGCACAGATCATACATCATTGCCAAAAGACGAGTTAGTGCCAATGGGTTTTGTTAGATTTATAATGTGGAGTTAAATGGTTTCTTTTCACTGTTGCATACTTTGCTTCCTGTTCAAGCTGCTCCTCTAGCTGGATAATCTTGGCCTCCAGGGCGGCGATAGAGGCCTTAAACTTTGATTTGACGGATCCCTCAAGTTCCTGCAGTTTGGTCTTCAACTCTTTGTTTTGCCGCTCCAGCTGCTGACGGGCATTCTCGCTCTTCTGGGCAGCACTGCGCTCTCCTGCCAGCTCTGTGTTCAGGGTATCCACCTGAAATACAGACAGCTGTTACTAAAGACGTGCGGTGTGTCAGAGAATACTTGAGTAGATAACAATTACACATCTTGCAAAGATCACAAGCACACAGAGCTTTGAGAACAGGCCATGATGACAAGTTAGCTTGTAGCATCGTCAACACCGCACCTGCATAGTGGTCTTGCGGAAGCGGTCGTTCAGGAGCTCCATGTTGCTCTGTTCCTCCTCTAGCTCTTCCTCCAGCTGGGCGATGCGAGCCTCCAGCCTCCTCTTCTCATCCAAGAGGGCTGCCCTGTAGGAAAAGAAACTTTATGTATAAAGCTTGTTTTTGAACAAACTATGAACAGGAGCAAATTAATTAACAGCCGAGTATGTCAGCATGAAATAAGTCAGCTTGAAATGGAAATGGTTGTCTTTTGTTCCATATTGTGACGTATTTCTGAGTGAAACAGCTCCTCAAATGAGAAAAAAAAAATGTAGGGCTGAACTTTTGTTTTATTTTTGTTAATTTTGAATTTTGTTTATTATGTTTATAATCACTTATAATTAGCACTGCAACATTTTGTACTCTATTGGTTCTCATTCAATAATCTGTATGACTTGTAAATACATCACAATACTCAAGTCAAGTCGGTCGCTGACTTCAAGAGGTTTGCAGCACAATGACTCACTTTCCAGAGGCACTGTTGGAAATCTCATCTGCCAGCTCGTCTCTTTCCTGTTCAGCGTGGCGTCGGGCTCTCTCTGAAGATGCCAGGTCCTAAAACCAATCACAGCCAAATCATAAACAAAGACTCGCAAGTTTAACTAATCCGATTTAAAACTGTGTGGGAAAACAAGCAACAGATTCTGCAGAAAAGCTTTTTTCAAATGTGTATTTCAGGCTTTGCAGTGCTTGCTCACCTCTTGCAACTGCAGAATCTCAGCCTCTAGACTCTTGAGCTTCTTCTCGTTCTCCTTAGAATGAGTGAAGATCTCATCACGAGAAGCACGCGCCTCCTCCAGCTCCCTCTGGTAGTCCTTCATCTGGGCCTGGATGAAAACAAAGAGATGTTGCCATCTGTTCTTCTCACATTTTGTCATGTCTCTGCACTCACTGTGACCTAAAATATTAAGTCACAGTAATGCAGTCAATGATGTAGACATCTGTGTCACTACTAAAAGACTCTTTTTGTGAGGATGAACAGATTATGCTAACAGTAAATGTGTCACTTCTTGCATTATCATTACTGTGTCATCACATTTGTGCATGAACAAAAGCATTCTGGAAAAGATTCTACCTGGAGTTTGCGTAGCTGTTTAATGGCTTCATCACGGGCCTTGTTTGCAGCCTCGATCTGAGCTTCCACATCTTTAAGGTCCATCTCCAGTTTCTTCTTGGCAGCTACAGCAAGAGCTCTCTGCTTCCTTTCATCTTCAAGCTCCACCTCCATCTCACGCACCTGAAGGAACAGGAATCATGGATCAAAAAACTATATCAGATAGGTTTACTTTGAGTAAAAACTATTGCAGACTGTCACAAATTTGTTGCTTGTTGCTTCTTAAGGCAGGGGTGCCCAACCTCGGTCCTGGAGGGCCGGTGTCCTGCAGAGTTTAGCTCCAACCCCAATTAAACACACCTGAACCAGCTAATCAAGCTCTTATAGGCATACTAGAAACTTACCAGCAGGTGTGTTGAGGCAAGTTGGAGCTAAACTCTGCAGGACACCGGCCCTCCAGGACCGAGTTTGGGCACCCCTGTCTTAAGGTATTAACCCTTTATTGCACTGTTGCCTCAATGGCAATAAAATGGTTAATTTTTTTGTTTTTAAAGAAAAGAAAAATAAACAGTAGTAAACAATCAAAAGAGAATCATTTATAGATTAAGTTGATGAAAACAGTTACCAGTGAATAAACTTTAAAGCTTAATAAATCGATAATCTACATACCCAAATAGCTTGTAATCCTCAAAAATGATCAATTTCACCCACCTGTTTGACCAGTGCCCTCTTCTTCTCCTCATTCTGCTCATCTCTGGCCTGCAGGTCTCGGTCAAACTGGGCCTTCATGGCCTGCATATTGACCTCCAGACGCAGCTTGGCATCCTCTGTGGCCTGTAGTTCGTCCTCCAGCTCCTCCAGCTGAGTGCGCATCTCCTCCACCTGCTGCTCCAGAGTGCGCTTGGATTTCTCCAGCTCATGCACCTACAGATTATAGCACATAAAAAAATACAGTGAGACAGTGTCAGAACCAGTCACAATGTGCTCGAGCACTAAATGATAAATCTAGGATCCAGGACTTCTCTAGTCATTCATAATGACTCCACATTTCTAAAATTATTTTATAGAGTTTCTGAGGAAGATTTCCATTTTCGTACATTCCAGATGACTTTTAACATTACATTTTCATGACATTTCTAGATCTGGAAATCGCAATTTAAATTATTCCAGTTTTCTGGCCAAATTAGCATCTTATTTGATTTTTTGCTTCTATGTTTGCCATGGCACTCTAAGTAGATCCAAAATCTTGCTCCAAATGCTGCATATTAAACGCATATGTTCTGACTGGCTGATTTTGTCGCTTTGCTAAGTATTCTGCTGTCAGTGATGACAGGCAAATTATTTGACACCTGAAACTTGTTGCATCACACTTAGTTATCACATGCAGTAGGGTGTCAGCACATTATAAGGTCTCAAAACAAAAACAGCCAACAAAATCTGCTGTTTACAAAACACCAAAGGTTCTTTAAACATCATGATGATGAATTCAAACATTACCACATACGTAACATAACAGTACAAATGTCCAGTAACATAGTGACTTACATTCTTGCCTACGTCATCCTTGGAACTCATCAGATCCTCCATCTCAGCTCTGAGCTGCTTGTTGAGTCTCTCAAACTCCTCTTTAGCCTCCAGAGCTTCATCCAGGGCTCGGGCCATAGACAGAGCTTTGGTGTCTTTCTCTCTCGCCTCGGCCTCAGCACGGTCCCTCTCCTCAGCGTAACGTGCAGAGATGGTCTTCTCCTCCGCCAGCATCTGACATACACATCAACAAATGCTTTGGTAAGATTTTTTTCATAATTATTAACAAATGTTTTTCATTAGAATTGAATGATAATAAAAAAAATAAAATTACAATTTAGCATTATACATAAAAAAAATTCACTTAAAAATTAAAATGTTGAAAATCAGTTGGTAACCCTCATATTGTTGTTCATCTTTCAAATACAAATTAAGATATTTTAAATGAAACCTGTAAGATTTCTGTCCATCCATTGAAAGTACATTCCACTAAAACTTCAAAAAGTTCATTAAGACATCATAAAAGTTGGTTCTCACACATCAAGCAAGCATGCTTGAGCTTCAGTTTCCCACATTTGATGAACTCTATATATGTGCATTGATCAGTTTATTGTGAAACTAAAAACCTAAATTAAATCTGTTCATCATATAAAGCAATTGTGTCTTTTTCAGAAGTCTTGGATTAAATTAAGCTTTAAAACTTCAAATTAAATGTCAAGTTTTGGTGAATGGACTTTCAATAGAAGGACAGAGCATCATATCTTCATTTATTTTTCAAAGAGGTGTGATAAGTCCTATGGTTTTGGAATGACATGAGGGTGAGTAAATGATGACAGAAATGTCATTTTTGGGTGAAATGTTGTTTAACCAAAACCATTCATACCTGGTCAAACTTCTTCTGTTTCTTCTCCAGGTTTGAGACGATCTGTCTCTGGTGGTCCAGGTCTACCATAAGGTCATCAAGCTCCTGCTGCAGCCTGTTCTTGGTTTTCTCCAGCTTGTCGTAAGCGATGGCTTTTTCCTCCAGTTTCTGACTGGTCCCCTCCATGTCTTTCTGCAGTTTCCTCTTGACCTCCTCCAGGCCTTCAAGAGATCCCACATCATCCTCCAGCTTTTTCTTGGTCTCCACCAGCTATCCAAGAAAGGAGGATTACAGAGGAGTGCTTTTACTTTCAAATGTTTGAGTAGTAAATAGTACATCTGATTCCCTTTCTGAACAGAAGTCTGAAAATTACACTTTTACATAACCCACTTTTGGTCAAATATGACAGGCTTTTGTGAGGTTCTAGCCAACATGTCACTGGTAGAGTAAAACAACATTATTGAATGTGTCAACTGATGTGCAAGATGTTGATATAATCTGACTTGCTGTCTGCCCTAATAAAAGAATATGGAGTGATTGTGCATACTTGGGATTGTAGTGTTGCCAGTTGTCTCTCCAGGTTCCTTCGCGCCTCCTCTTCCTCCTCCTGCTGCTCCTGAAGGCTGTTCTTCTCTTCCTCCAGTTGTCGGACACGGCTGCTCAGGTTCAGCTTCTGACGCGTCTCCTCTTGAAGCAGCTCCTATATCCACAATATTAACCAATCATGACTCAATCACATCACACACACCTTTTCATTAAAAAGTCTACCAATTGTTTTTATTAATTATCTATTGTTTTATTATTCTATGTCATTGCTTCATCCACTCTTGCAGGGCTTCCTGTTTGCAGAGACGCATTACCTGAGTGTCCTGAAGCTGGCTCTCTAGGCTGGAGGCATCTTTGGCCAGCTTCATTCCCTTCTTCTCAGCATCTTCCAATAGAGCAGAAACATTGTCCAGTTCCGCCTGCAACAAATGATAAATAAATAAATAAATTTACAGTGGAGAGATATTTCACAAATACCCTCGATTCTGATCTATTTAAGGTTGCTTTCACACTTGGCTTGACAGCCTGGTCCGAACCGAATAATTACAATTAATTTTAATAATTGCAGATTTAATGATTGCAGGTCTCATATGAAACTCCGAGTCAGAATTTAACAGAACAGTTTAATTCCGTGTAGTAAATAAATGTTTGTTTTAAAATTGTGCATTTAAAAAAAAAGCTTCAGGTCTGCTGTGATTATTTGTAGGGCTGCACAATGTTGTGATTATATACCAATATGACCATAAAATCATATATGAAACTGGTTATTATATAATAATGTAATAGTACACACGCTAATATTTAATCACTGCAATTTGCAATTTATTTAATAATAATTACAATTAATTATAAAAATTGCCAATTTAATGAATGCAATTTGATAAATTCACATCAAGCCATAATCGTGATTAGGGTTTTATTTTGATTAACTGTGCATCCCTTATTACAGCCACACTTTCAGTCTGCCTAAACTCTGCAGGACACCGGCCCTCCAGGACCGAGTTTGGGCACCCCTGTCTTAAGGTATTAACCCTTTATTGCACTGTTGCCTCAATGGCAATAAAATGGTTAATTTTTTTGTTTTTAAAGAAAAGAAAAATAAACAGTAGTAAACAATCAAAAGAGAATCATTTATAGATTAAGTTGATGAAAACAGGTACCAGTGAATAAACTTTAAAGCTTAATAAATCGATAATCTACATACCCAAATAGCTTGTAATCCTCAAAAATGATCAATTTCACCCACCTGTTTGACCAGTGCCCTCTTCTTCTCCTCATTCTGCTCATCTCTGGCCTGCAGGTCTCGGTCAAACTGGGCCTTCATGGCCTGCATATTGACCTCCAGACGCAGCTTGGCATCCTCTGTGGCCTGTAGTTCGTCCTCCAGCTCCTCCAGCTGAGTGCGCATCTCCTCCACCTGCTGCTCCAGAGTGCGCTTGGATTTCTCCAGCTCATGCACCTACAGATTATAGCACATAAAAAAATACAGTGAGACAGTGTCAGAACCAGTCACAATGTGCTCGAGCACTAAATGATAAATCTAGGATCCAGGACTTCTCTAGTCATTCATAATGACTCCACATTTCTAAAATTATTTTATAGAGTTTCTGAGGAAGATTTCCATTTTCGTACATTCCAGATGACTTTTAACATTACATTTTCATGACATTTCTAGATCTGGAAATCGCAATTTAAATTATTCCAGTTTTCTGGCCAAATTAGCATCTTATTTGATTTTTTGCTTCTATGTTTGCCATGGCACTCTAAGTAGATCCAAAATCTTGCTCCAAATGCTGCATATTAAACGCATATGTTCTGACTGGCTGATTTTGTCGCTTTGCTAAGTATTCTGCTGTCAGTGATGACAGGCAAATTATTTGACACCTGAAACTTGTTGCATCACACTTAGTTATCACATGCAGTAGGGTGTCAGCACATTATAAGGTCTCAAAACAAAAACAGCCAACAAAATCTGCTGTTTACAAAACACCAAAGGTTCTTTAAACATCATGATGATGAATTCAAACATTACCACATACGTAACATAACAGTACAAATGTCCAGTAACATAGTGACTTACATTCTTGCCTACGTCATCCTTGGAACTCATCAGATCCTCCATCTCAGCTCTGAGCTGCTTGTTGAGTCTCTCAAACTCCTCTTTAGCCTCCAGAGCTTCATCCAGGGCTCGGGCCATAGACAGAGCTTTGGTGTCTTTCTCTCTCGCCTCGGCCTCAGCACGGTCCCTCTCCTCAGCGTAACGTGCAGAGATGGTCTTCTCCTCCGCCAGCATCTGACATACACATCAACAAAATTATGAATTTAAATTATTCTTAAATGATGACGTTTTTCAGTAGTATTTAAAGATAATTAAAAAAAATGAAATAACCTTAATAAAAAAATGCCATCAGTTATTCACCCTCTAATTGTTGCAAACCTATTACACTTTTATCATCATCTAAACACAAATTAAGACATTTTAAATTAAACCTGAGAGATTTCTGTCTATCCACTCAGTACATTGCAATAAAAAAAAGTTCATAAAGACATCATAAAAGTTGTTTCTCGAACATCAAGCTCATACCTGAGCTTCAGTTTCCCATATTTGATGAACTATATATGTGCGTCTGATCACAGTTTATTAGTGAATAAAAACCTAAATTAAATCTGTTCATCATATAGAGCAATTGCATCTTTTCAGAAGACTAATTAAGCATTACAACTCTGAATTAAGTGTCAAGTTTTGGTGAAATAGATTTTAAAGAGAAAGACAGAAATCTCTCAGGTTTCATTACAATTATCTTCATTTATGTTTTGAAGAGGAGCAAACGTCCTATGGTTTTGGAATGACATGAGGGTGAGTAAATGATGACAGAAATGTCATTTTTGGGTGAAATGTTGTTTAACCAAAACCATTCATACCTGGTCAAACTTCTTCTGTTTCTTCTCCAGGTTTGAGACGATCTGTCTCTGGTGGTCCAGGTCTACCATAAGGTCATCAAGCTCCTGCTGCAGTCTGTTCTTGGTTTTCTCCAGCTTGTCGTAAGCGATGGCTTTTTCCTCCAGCTTCTGACTGGTCCCCTCCATGTCCTTCTGCAGCTTCCTCTTGACCTCCTCCAGGCCTTCAAGGGCTCCCACATCATCCTCCAGCTTCTTCTTAGTCTCCACCAGCTATCCAAAAAAGAAGGATTAAAGAGTAGTGCTTTTATTTTTAATTAATATTTTTATAGTAAATAGTACATCTGATTTCCTTTCTGAACAGAAGTCTAAAAAAATAAAATTGTTACATAACCCACTTTTTGTCCTCAAACATGACAGACTTCTTTCTGTGAGGTAAGTAAAACACATTATTACGTGCTAGACGTTAATATAAACTGACATGCTGTGTTCCCTCATTAAAAAATATAGTAATTGGGCGGACCTGGGCTTGTAGTGTTGCCAGTTGTTTCTCCAGGTTCCTCCGTGCCTCCTCTTCCTCCTCCTGCTGCTCCAGAAGGCTGTTCTTCTCCTCATCCAGTTGACGGACACGGCTGCTCAGGTTCAGCTTCTGACGAGTCTCCTCTTGAAGCAGCTCCTACAGCCACAATTTTAAACAAGCATGACTCAATAACATCCCACACCTTTTCTGTGAAAAGTCTATCTATTGTTTTAATTAAATCTCTGCAGTCTTTCATTGCTGATGAAATTACTTTAGGAGCATACTATGGATCAACCTTGTTGGTAGATACAAAATACTTCTATGTCACTGCTTCATCCATTCTTCCAGTGCTTCTTGTTTGCGGAGTCACATTACCTGAGTGTCCTGAAGCTGACTCTCTAGGCTGGAGGCATCTTTGGCCAGCTTAATTCCCTTCTTCTCAGCATCTTCCAACAGAGAAGAAACATTGTCCAGTTCTGCCTACAAAAAATTTAATTTGCAGTTATTTAGGATATAGGATATTTCACAAGAACCCTGGATGCTGATCTATTTAAGGTTGCTTTCACACTTGGTTCGATAGTCTGGTCCGAACCCAAGTTCGATTGATCCTCCTCCCCCTGCCGGTTTGTGTTCACACGGTGATTATTGGTTCTGAACCACAGTACGTTTGCATAATCAGCGCTGTTTACCCATGATGCTAGGTAACGACTATGCAGAAGATGGCGAAATGAATGTATGCTTGCACGCCTCATTTTTGTACTTTTTGGATTTTGAAAGTTTAATTTTGTTTCCGAAACGGCAACACCGAATGAAACCTATTTGACACAAATGTACTGCAAGGGTGTAAGAGAATACGGGAATCAATTTCTGCGAGCAAAAATGAGATATAAATTCTCTCTGCTTGCAGAGTGTCAGTCACACTTGTCAGGAAAGTGAGTGAGTAAACACAAATACAGTCTGACCAATTCATATGTCATCAATAATGGCTCACTTCCGAAATTTAGTATAATTGCATTCACATTAGAAGCGAACTGTACCAGAGTCCACATCAACCGTACACAAGATCACCCTTTTTAGGCGAATGGTTCGTAAAAACAGCAGAGTTCAGAAAACAGCATTCACATTATCCGAATGAACTGAACTCCACCAAAAGGTCTCATATGACATACTGAGTCAGAATTTAACAGAACTGCTTAATTCCATGTAGTAAAAAGATGTTTGTTTTAAAAACAAATGATTAGAAACTTAAAAAAAAAAAAAAAAAACGTAAATGTAGCTGAAACATTTTCTAAAGGCATTTTCTAATAACTCAACGGCCCGGAGTCAATTATTCCGCTTATACTACGGTTGCCACACTTTAAGACATTGATCAGATGATATATTTCAAGGCATTCGTCCGGGTTTTGTACTTAAAACACTATTGTGAGTAGGATTAATTTCTTCCGCATCTCATCCAACGCCTCCGTTGCTAATTCCAAAACATCATTTTAGACCTAGTAACGGAGGCTTGAGCCATTGATGCAGATATTAATGAAGTTATTAGACAGACAGAGAGCGAGAGCGAGAGAGAGAGAGAGAGAGAGAGAGAGAGTGTATATTACCTCTGAGTCTGTGTGTCTCTCAAAATTGTTCGGCAGCAGCGTCTCTACTAACAGTGAAACTTTAAGTTCATTTCCTTCACGAACAGTGCCGTTGTTACCTCGCTTGTGAGAAATATCATGTAGCTTTTAAAATAAAATCGCCATAGTAGCGATAACAACGTTAGCGCGTGTATGTTTCTGTACTGTAAGTTATGTATGTGCGCCTGTGAGGGAGAAAGAGCGGCCAGTGTTGTTGTGGGTTTTGGTTATTGTGCTGTTGTAAGACCTTTTAAAATAACAGAAATCATTTGGCGAAGTGATATGGACATGAAATGCAGTCCAAAGCTGCCTGGAACTACGTTCGCTGTGCGTTTCCCTGAAAATAATTGCACACCTTAGAACGTTCGTCAGCCAATAAGATTCAAGCATTCAACGGCCCCACAGTATAAAATAATACATGAAACTGGTTATTATATAATAATAATTTAATAGTACATTCGCTAATATTTAATTATTGCGATTTGCAATTTATTTAATAATAATTGCAAATAATTTTAATACTTGCAATTTGATAATCGCACTAAGCCATAATCGTGATTTGGGTTTTATTTTGATTAATCGTGCAGCCCTAATTACACCCACACTTTCAGTCTGCAAAAAACAAATGAAACAACACTCATCTGTAGTGTGTGAGGGAGGTATTTCGTGGAACTGGGTGTAACAGAAATGATTGTGATATGAAGTGTAACAGCACTCACTTGTAGTTTGTAGGAGCGGTCTGAAAGTTCTCCTTTAACCTTCTCTCCCTCGCTGAAGCGGGCCATGAACTCCTGCAGCTGAGCCTCAAGTTTCTTTCTCTTGTGCTCAGATTCAGACTTGGCTTGCTGCAAACTCTTCACCTCATTGGCCATCTCCTTATTATCACTCTCCAGAGTCTGTTTGTTTTTCTCCAGATTTGACTTAACCTAATGTTGACAGACAGACAGTATGAGAGAGACAGATTTTGCCTGAACTATATCAACAGGAGACCATACCATATTTAATCACTGAATGAGGAAATTAATTCCAAACACATCATTCTGACAGCAGACGACTGGCGGCGTTCCAGTCAAGACATTAGAACTGAATACCCTCGCTCTTTATTTCTGTGGCTTACTCTTTTGGCCTGTTCCAGCTGCTCAGAGATATCCTCCAGAGCTGTGCCGTGCCTCTGTCTCATCTCCTGGACCTGAGACTCATGGTTTTTCATCTCGTCATCGATGGCCTTCTTCAGTTCTGCCACCTCCTGCTCTCGTTTGGTCCTTTATGAGCAAAAGACACATTATTAGGCAACACACATTTGAGGAGAAAGGTTCAGAGAAAACAGAAAGGGTCAGATTCTAATTAACTGATTTCCATGATATGGAAAAAAAAATACTACAGAAGTCAATGGCTACAGTCAACTGTTTGTTTACCAACATTCTTCAAAAGATTTGAAACAAATTAATGAGTAAATGACAAGAATGTTCATTTTTTGGTGAACTATCCCTTTAAAAACTAGTAAAATTTTGTGGTCATGATTTAGTTCCTGATGCAGACTCTTGTACCTCAGCTCCTGCTGGGCGGCAGTGGTGTCCAGTGTGTCTTCCAGCTCAGTCTTCAGAGCCTCCAGTTCCTCACTCAGATCTCTCTTGAGTTTCTCAGCTTTGTTTCTGGCTGCTTTCTCAGACTCCAGATCCTCCTGGAGCTCAGCTAGCTGGGCCTGCAGCTCCCGCACTTGCTTCAGTGCATTGTTCTTCTGAGCGACCTCCTCATCACCTCTGTGGAACAATAAATATAAGCAAAGATTATTAGCAAAACGATGCATGCTAAATTAAAGGAGTTATATTCTACACTTTTATTTACAAACTCTTTCTGATCCTGATGAATTAAATAGTCCTGTTTAAAATCTAGGATCTACTGAATCTACTGTACTTTTCAGACTTCTATATGTAAATAACCTCTGTTATGACTGGTCAATTTCTTTCCCACAAGTGAAGTAAGTAAAAATATACCTGCTAAGCAGCTTATTACTGAATGGATATAAATATGTGGATTTGTTGCTCCAAAAACAGTTCTCATTATCAATGTTGAAAACCATTTTTGATGCTTAATAATTAAGATTTTTTAAAACTGAATACTTTTATTCAGCAAGGACACGTTAAATTGATCACGTGTAACAGGAAACAGTTTTATAAAAGATATATATTTGAAATTATCACTTCTTTTAGATTGTAATTATATTTCAAAACATTTTAAAACATTTTCACTGTATGTTTGCCTTGGTGAACATAACAGATTTTAAATAAAATAAAATAAAATTAAATTAAATACAATTAAAATTAAAATTAAATTAAGATTCCAAAACTCACTGACTTCTTTAACCGGGTTTGCTATAAAATGTTATATAATATGACAAATAAGAAACTCTATGGCAGGTGTCGATTTAAAGGTATGGCTATCATACAGACTTCATTCTATTTATATATATATATGAACGCGAGTAAGCATGTCAATGTGTTTTTGTTGTGATGTCGCAACATCAATGTGATACCAATTTACTAAAGTATTTCAGGACTGCACAATGTTAACAAACACAAAGGTCAAGAATAAAAACTTTCCACGACTAATATACCAATTTATATGATGGCAGCATAACACGGCCTACCATAAGTTATTGTTTAGACATGGTCAGATAGACGACAGTCAAACTATTTCGGCTCCAAGTGGATTTTTACTGGCGAGAGTAGCCGACTTCTCCTTTTTCTTATTCTGTGTTCCTCAATGAACAGATCTTCACCTGGCCAGTACAGCCTGTAGCTCCTCTTCTTTCTTGGCCAGTTGGATCTTGAGTTCCTCAATCTGGGCCTGCAGCTCAGCTGTCTGGTCCTGTAGGTCTGTGGTCTCAGCATCCAGCTTTCTTTTGGCTTTCTCAAGCTCCTGCCTAGTTTTCTCCTCTTTCTTCAGACGCTCTGAGGATCAAACACACAAACATAAACATTAAAGAATTACTGCTTTACATTCACTTAAATAAAATGATCCATATTCAACACAGTCCTCACCTTCTAGGTCTACCATCATCATTTCTTGCTTGTTTTTGACTTTGCCAAGGTTCTTGGCTTTCTCTTCTTCCTCAGCCAACTGGGAGGTCATCTCACTCACACGGTCATCCAGTAGTTTTTTCTCCTGAGGGATAGGGACGAAAGGAAGAGCTCAGTTTGCCTCTGCAAAGTTCTTCTCAAAGCATCCTTATTGCTGTATTTTGATTAGGCGGTTTGACATCTGCACTGACCTTTAGGAATTTGGAGTTCTGGTCCTCCAACAGCAGAATGTCTTCCTCCATCTTTTTTATCTTGGCTTCAGCAGTCACCTTCTCCAACTGAAGCTTCTGTCGGGCAGCCTCTTCTTCATCTAGTTGTTCCTCTAGGTCCTGAAGACAAACACACACACTTGTGGTTTCTGTACAGCAACAGTGTAGGACTTTGTGAGCCTTTTTAGCCAAGTACTTGCTGAATTCATTATTCCAACCTAGAAGTTTTAGATACAGATTTACACTATTTTAAGTTTACAGCAGATCAAGGATTATATTTCCCCAGTGAAGTCCTCACCTGTATGTGTGACTGCATTTTCTTCTTCTCATTCTGCAAAGATTGGTTCCTCTCCTCTTCCTCCTCCACACGGGACTCCAGGTCATGAAGAATCTCCTCCAGCTCTTGTTTTTTAGCCACCAGGCGAGCCCTCATCTCTTCAGCTTCAGCAAACAATTCTGTCTCGGCCTGCAGTTGCTCCGCCAAGATGTTCTTCTCCTCCAAGAGCTGAAACAAACATCAAACCAGATCTTTTCTCTGTTTCTACAACATTTGTCAATTTGGTTGACAGAATCACTATGATTTCGTAACACTGCAGAAGATCATGGAGATTCCACTACATTGAATAAAGCCACAAGAGACCACATTACAGTGATTTTAGAAAGCAACATGATTCAAGTGTGGCCATATACATATATCAGAGATGTAACAATGTCTTTAAATGTGGTTCATTCTGTCGGATATCAGGTCAGAAACTAACATAACACTTAAATAACACAGTGATTTTCAGGAGACAGAGGGAGGAGGTGAGTGTGTGCTAACCTGCTGGTGTTTCCGCTCCATTTCCACCAGTTCGTTCTCTACTTTCACCTGCTTCTCCTTCACTTTAATGAGCTCCTCATCCTTGGCCTGCATTTCTTCCTCCTGGCGGGTCACCTGGAGGAGGGGTTTCACCTGCAGACACACATGTATTGCACATCTCAAATGAATACTATCTGCAACAATACTGCAAATGAGTTGATTAACACTAGAACCGTCACGGTGTAAATTTTATCAAATGTTTTTCAAATGTACATAAAAGATTTAAAATAAAACATTCAATTTATTAAAATTATGTAATTTACAATCCAGTGTTGTTAAAAATTATTTAGATAAAACCAGATCAAAAAACGGGGCATTTATACCTATAAGCGCCAGCGGGTCAAATTTAGCCACCTATATAATGCATGTATTTTCACACTGTCATTTTCTTGCCGCTTGTGTTTTAACATTGTACATTTCTAGGCAACGCCTTTCACTCACTGATTTAGCAGTTATCAGTTTCATAAATAAAGTCAAAATGACAAAAAAAAGGCGATTTATGGAAGGTAGGTATTAGAAACACTAAATGCCACGAGTGATGGAGAGTCTGATAGTAAGTTATGTGTCCTGGGTCGGCTCAGCATCTGACGGCTCATCTGACAGTGATCCAGATATCAGATTTTCATATTTTAGCCTCACGTTACTCTAATTGCTTTTTTTTTTTTAGCTTAGGCTACTGACCGTTATGGATTAGTGTAGCCTGCATTAAAAAAAAAAAATCTTGAACCTAAAACAACAGGATAAAAATATAGTTGATGACTAGATATAATCATTTCATGACTCTAGACACTTCTTTGTGAAGACAGTGGCATAATACAGTGAAATAATATGTTCTTTAGCCATATAAATACAGTTGTCATGTGCGTGGGTAAAATTTACCTGCTGGCGCTTTTAGGTATACAGCGACCTCTGGCGGTTCTAGGGTTAAGATTCAATTTCTCTTGCATACACACAAATTTCTTTTAGATAAGTATACTAAAGCTGGTCAAATCATTTAAACAGTTATGTAAACTGACTATTTTAAAAACCGAGACCAACCTTGGTGAAGAGTCTCCACCACTGCCAGTGGCGTAGTTTCAGGTAGGCGGCGCAGTTTCTCTGGAGGACTTTCAAAGCGCTTAGCTGCTGCTGTTTTTTAGCAAAGGCTCTGAGAAACACAACCAGAGAACAGAAGCAGTTCACCGACAAGGTCTCATAAGAATACATTTAATTTCTACACTATAAACAGTAAGAGCTGCATATTACTCTTTTAGACCAGATTTAGATCAACCTTTTGCATTTGGACTCACTTGCGAGCCAGGTATCCTCGACAGACCGACTGAAAGTAGATTATGATATCTGTTATTTTCAGGTCTCTCTCTTCCTCCAGGTGTGCCAAAACTCCAGTGCGGAAGAAGATCTTACTCTGCCCAATCCGGTAGAGGTTTGGGTCAAGCTCCAAGGCTCGGATCTACAGATCACATTGTTAGTTGATACTTAGCATTTAGCAGATGCAAAATTTCAGATGCTGGTTTTTCAATAATGGATATCAGTAAAAAATCTATGAAACTATAGAATAAACATGAAATAGTTACATCATTAAAGTGCACCTTTAATTTGATAATGTTTCTTTAATTCAATTATGAAAAAATATATAAACAAATTGTATTATTATAAAGCTCTTTTGAGAAATGCATTATTGAGCTATTAGGTGTGATTCGGAAGCCTATTATTTTTAAAGTAACATTTGGATATACTAATTTTAATTATGAAAAGAAAATAATTTAAAGGTAGTGCAAATCAAATTTATTTGAAAAATGATAAGAAAATAAACGGTTTAAAACAATTACACTACCATTCAAATGTTTGGGTCATTAAAATTTTTGAAGTCTCTTATGCTCAGCAAGGCTGCTTTTATTTGATAGAAAAAATACAGTAAAAACAGTAATATTGTGAAACATTATTACAATTTAACACAATTCTTTTCTATTGTAATATATTTTAAAAGGTAATTTATTCCGGATGTTTTTTCAGCATTACATGATTCTTCAGGTATTATTCTAATAGGCTGATCTGTGTGTAAGAATTTTTTTATTATTATTATCAATGTTGAAAACAGTTGAAGCAGAAACGGTGATACATTTTTTTCAGGACTTTATTTACAGGATTCTTTGATGAATAGAGTTCAAAAGAACTGCATTTATTTGAAATAGTAAAGATTGTTACAAAAAATTCTTACATTTTTGATCAAATTAATGTGTTCTTGCTGAATTTGTTTTTATGGAATATTTCATAATACACCGGTATTTTAACTATTTTGATTGAATCCTTTTTTTGGCCCTCTGCATGAAACTTGATGAATAAAGTACTGGTAAACCTCATTTGTTAGTCATCTTAAGAAATCTTACCATTCTCTCACAAGCCTGCTTGCCGTCCATAAAACCTTTGGGGATTGCATTAGGCGTGAGGATCTCGTATCTGAGAGGAAAACAGATATAACAGTTTTATCACTGATAAAATATAATATGCATCTGAATGAGATTTCTGAAACGCACCTCTGTCTGAACTCCTGGAAGACAATACGGTTAGGGAATCCCTGCCTGCAGATCCGGATCCCTTCTAGAACTCCATTACACCTCAGCTGATCCAGAACCAGATGGGGCTCCAGTTTACCAGCCTAACAGAGAAGAACGACAATGACAATGAGGTGCGTAGTCTATATATTAGGCTTGCCACGATAGACGGTGCTGACGGTGATACCGGTGTTAAGCCGCAACACCGGTTACGTCACTTGCCCACCGACCCCCACCGTCGTTTTGATTTTTTATAGTATTAAAAATCATTTAGTTCAGTAAATGAACAGACACTACAATTAAAAACTGAATGCGGCTGCTCAATGCAGTTGAACGACAGTTGCATCACAGATCAGATTTAATTTCTCCAGTGAGGAGAGTGAGTCGAGCTGACTGATAAGAGTGGGGTGAGACAGACAAGACGATGCAAAAGTGCCTGTTTGGCAATATTTTGGATTTTGAAAAGCCTGTTGACTTTTGCCGTTTATCTAAGGTGATTTTGGAAGTTTTTTTAAACATTCGTTTCTTATTTAATTGGTTCCACATTGTTTGCTGATTTTTACTTTATTTCAGCTTTGTGCCATTTATTTATTTTATTTGACATCAAGGTGTATGCCATGCCTCCAAGCTTTCTTACTCGTTTTGCTAATAAACGTTCTACGTTTCTTATTTATTTGGTTATATATTATAAATGTTTACTTGTTTCCAGGTTTGTACATCTAAACTTTATGTAAGTTATTTGTTATTTTATATTAGGCATAGCCTGCCCTATAGCATGGTGTATTTTTATTTGTTTTGTTAATAAAAGTTCTATGTTTTATATATACACTAAAGTGAGTTTGACGTTGTATTTTGTTGTTGCATTCAAGCAATTGACGCCTAACTGCCGCTAATTCTAAAGTGAAAGTAAAATGCGCACGGCGCTTTTAAGCTATTTAAAAGCGAAGGAAAGTGAGGAAAAGAGGGAAAATTCAAACGAACTAAAAACGAACAATTGCTTTACTCCGAATTGCCACTATTTGAAAGTGAAAGTAAAATGCACACGCCACTTTTACAAGCTATTTAAAAGTGAAGGAATGCGAGGAAAAGAGGGAACGCACCCGCGGTGATACCGGTATTACCGGTGTTGTCACACGTCGATTAACCGGTGGGAAACTTTCCTCACCGTCACAACCCTACTATATATATATAGTTTTTATTTTAGCTAAAGTACATATTTACTTACAAATTAAGGGGCAAATGTCACTTACTCTTTTCTCATGATTGGGGATGATACAGCGCACGAAGTTGGGGTTGGTGTTTCTGAGTGTGGCCATAAGTTTCGTGAGAGACTCTTTATAGAGCTGACCCACAGTGCGGAACATGCCCTTCTTGGTCTTATATGTAGCCCCAAATGCAGTCTCATTCATCCCTGCCACCTGGTCCAAACCAACAATACGGTCCACTACCATGAAGAGTGAGAAAAAAGAAAGATACCAACCGGTTAGTTTGATCATCAAAGTATTTACAGGTACAGTTTAAAAAAAAGAGTGACACAGCACAGCCAAATCATGTGAAGATGGAAGAGGGATATATCTACAACTGAAGCTCTAATTCAACAACACCAAGCAGAAGGTCAAAATACGCTGTGTATTTTTGCATTCTTACAAAGACCATTTAAAAAAAACCTGTCCTTCAATGGGCCTTTAATCGTCATATCCTACAAAAAATAGAAAATAACTTTCAGGAAGTAGTACAGTGTATTTTGACTCAATGCCACAAGTTCAGACAGCCAATTCAAGAGCCAATGGCCCCTACTATGCCAGCAGGTCCAGTGCTAGGCAAATGGAGACATGAAAAAGATGAAAAGTGCCAAGGATAAGATTACAACTATAAACAAGCACAAGCTGCAAATGAAAGAAAATGGAAGGGTGAACCTCAAAACCTGTCAAGATCATGTCCAGGGCATATTTCACCAGATGTTAATTCAGCAACTGGATTGGATTCAGTCAGTTCTTTCAATGAATAATGGTCCTGAAAAGGTTTCATTTTAAGATATTTCCACCAAGTACATTTTTCCACCCCAATTCTCATTACTGAAATGCAGAGCAACAGAATTCTTGTTAGTGTAATACAAAAAAACGTGCATTGTAAAGTACTGATACATTGTATAAATATTTGTTGTAGTATGCTTTTGCAGCTATTTTTACACTACAACAAAAATGAGATTCTAACCAGAATCAACAACAAAAATAAATTCAAAATAAAACATATGAATGCATTAGGGTAATTAAAACGTAGGGATTTTTTTTTTTTTTGAGTGAAATATGACCCAGACATGTATATTATGTTCTCTCTCTCTCTAAGCAATGTTACTAAAATGTCTCCTTTCAGCAACTGATTAAATCAATGTGAATAAATCTGCTAAGCAATAAATAAGATACCAATCAAAAACATGACTTTCACAAATTTGGGTCCAATAACAGTGCCATAACACAAAACAAGTCAAACTTCAATCACTCAACACACAAGTAATCAGAAACTACATGAAGAGTTCAGATGCAAAAACCTCTAAGAGCCGTTTGAAATTTTCATCTAAAATAAGCATTTTTATCAGGATCCTATATTTATTTTCATTTATTTCACTTTAATGGCATAGAAAAGGACCTATACATTGCCATTAAAGTAAAATTACTGAACCTAAACATAGGAGCCTGATAAAAATGCTAATTTTAGAAGAACATTTCAGACGGCACTTAGAGGCTTTTGCATTGAACTCTTCAGATATTCATTTTGATTAATTGGGGGCTGGTAAAGTCTAACTACTGGTGCTAGATTTACAATTCTAGGTCTCGCAGCATTCCTGTAAATGTCATTCTTAAGAACCGCTTCCAAGCAATGTTCTGTTCATAATGGGGCTCCTGACGTGACGTCCGTTACCTCCATGGAGAATTTACTGAGCTGTCAGTGTTGACTGGCACAGGCCTGAGCGAGTCATTTGGATTCCAGTGAAACAAGACGTGTATTGTTCCATGTTCCCTGTCAGAGAAACACCACAGAATTCCTCCACCCCTCACCCAAACTCCATCTCCCTCACACGGCCTATCAAATCACCATCTGACACTTAAAACAAACAAGATGTCTGAGCGCAAGAACCAAGGGCATAAGCCCCCGTACCACACAAACCGCTCTGTCTGCTGAAAAACTAAGCTGTGTTTGAGGGAATCTCATGATAACCAGGTCAGGTTATATTTCACTGCGAAATAAAAAAAGGAAATAAAAATGTAGCATCAAGTCCATTATAGGACAATTAAGCAAATTTTCACCCAAAATTGTCATTATCATAATGCGTCCAGACTTTACTGTAATAAAAATATTATTATAAAATTTGCTTGCAGATAACTATTTAAAACATATAAAAATTATTAATTACTTTAAGACAGCCTTGTTGGCAAGTAGCGCTTCCGCCGACCTGAGTTCAAGTGCCGATTATCATATAATTTGATTTTATGGTGAAATATGACACAGACATGTTCTTGACAATGGTTCTTCAACACTGGCTGGACTGAAAATGCTATAGGTGTAGATTTAATAATGATTTGACACTTACAGTTTTAAAACTATGAAATAACAGCCAGAATATTTAGGGGTGTGAAGTTAACAAAATTGCTGAAAGGCACTCAAAGAACAAGCAGGGCCCTAATCCTTGTAGCCAGCGCACCTAGAGAGCTACCCAGAGTTACTTTCAAATGTCTGTTATGCAGTGTCAGTACTCTGTATTAAGTCACTAGGCACATGCATTCATTTTTCATGCAATCTTCATTCATGGTCAGTTTGGGCATCCTAATGAATCAGCCAAGTCAAGCTCCCTTTCAAGTGGATCCAGCTAACTCTAAAGTTAGCCAGCTAGAGGGACTAGGGCCCAGGTCTACAAGCCATGGGAGTGTTTGAAAGTACACAATGCGCTGGTAAGCAGAGACCTACAGCATCGTATACCTTCACCTGGCGATTCATGGAGACTAGAGACATCATAAAAAGACGCTCTTTGGATATTCTGAATCTCTATGGTCGAGAGACAGAGAAAGGGGGCAAAGGGGAGATAAACAAGAAAATAAGCAAAATAAAAAAGCAGTAGTAGAACACAGCTAGCACATAAAAGACATAAATGGTAGTAAACACACTGGTTAGTGCTGTGCAACACAGGTGAGAATAAGCAAAAGTCTTCATTCGATTTGCACTAGTTTCTGTTTTTGGATATGTGTACTTTTATTTTAATGTTTTAAGATCCTGCTGATCGATCTTAGCACATACATTTTATTTTGTATCTACTTCTAAAGAAATTATTTTGCCACAATATTATAATTTTACATAAAATGTGTATTATGTTATTTAATTTATACAGTTTTGCTGGAAATGCAGTGAAAAGTGCTGTCAGACATAAATAATAAAATATGACACGTCTCACTCTGTATTTTTGCATTACTTCATATTTCCTCACTGCTTTAATCTGTAAATAATGTAAAGCAGCCCTGCTTATAATAACTACAGTACAAATATATCTATTGTGATATCAACAGTATAAAATATTTGCGTCGAGCCACCGAAATGCATGACAAGCTCTTTTTACAAGACAGACAAGACGTGAAACTGAAGATTAAAAACAACAGTCTCTTTCTTCACAGAACAGGAGGGTAGAATCATAAAAACGAGCCGTTTAACGTTTCATGTGTCAGGGAATCTGGAAGGCACTCTAGAAGAAAACAGCTTACCATCCTTCCACAGTTCAGCCACAAACTTATCCGTGGACTGGTGCAGGAGTGTGGCCACGTTGTCATTTAGAGGGTCCATGTTTTTCATCAACCACTCATCTGCCTTATAGTCAACCTGTAAAATGAGAGAAATAAATAAACGGCACATTAACAACCTCAAGATGGGAAGAATGGAATTAAGCCAGGATTGGTTCAATCTGGATAGTTTAATTTAAGAGGTACTGCAGTTCAGCAGTCGTTGGCTGTTTGCATAGTGTTATGTAACTACTGAAAGTGATCAAGTATAAATCAATGCACTATTTTACTTTTCTTAAACAGGAAACAAAGCAAACTCTAATTTTCTGGCTTTTAACCCAAACATAGCTCAAAGGGAGAGAAATATCAAAAGTTCCTCATTTCATGCAGTGTCAAGTTTCTATTGCAAACAGCTCACTGATCTGAAACAGATGTGGCCTGTGGTTAGCACATACCACAGCTGGATGCTGCTACCCTTGAAAGACAGCAACGCAACATTTCACTGCAAGCCAGTATGACCTGACTAAATCCAATTACATAAGGTTACGATGCATTCCATGTTTCTTTTAAACAGTAACAAAAGTAACTTAATTATTACAAACATCACAAGACTGAAGTAAAAGAGGTGAATCCAACAGCTACGTGTAATTTCATAAATATGAATGCAGACGTACCTTGCCAGCATAGTGAATGATGCAGAAATCGGCTTTGTCCTTCAGCTGCCGTGGTTTCTGGAACTTGGCATGAGTGCCTTGCTCTTGCACCAGTTTGTCCACAAAGGTTTTATCAGTGGCTTTTGGAAACCAGCATTCCTCATCCAACAGAGCCAACACACCGGGAGGATTTGCCTGGGAATGGCACCGTAAAAGCGATCAAAACAATTTATAGAAAAGCCAACAGAAAGCACTAGAAGCATTCTCTACTTCCACAGTAACTTCAAATTACTTTAAATTCTGCAAATGCTTGGTGTAGAAAATATTTCCAGCAACCCACAACAATAAATTAAAGGGCAAATACTATTGCAGTTGAGGTGAGAGCTCACCGGTCTCTCAATGAGGTCAATGCAGGGCTGCAGGTCGAGGCCGAAGTCGATGAAGCTCCATTCGATGCCTTCACGCTGGTACTCCTCCTGCTCCAGGATGAACATGGTGTGGTTGAACAGCTGCTGAAGCTTCTCGTTGGTGTAATTGATGCAGAGCTGCTCAAATGAGTTCAGCTGCCAAGAGATGGAGAGAGCAATAAAATATGATCAAACTGGCTTTGTCTATAACATATTTAGTCCCAGAACATGCATAATTGATTCTTTAACCAATATCAGTATCTTCAATATCAATATCACTTAACTAAATACTGCAGCTATGAATGGGTATCCAATTACACTATTTACTGTAAACCTTGTAATTTCATCCTGACTATACCATAATTATATAACTCAATTTAGCAGATGCATATTTTCCAAAGCAATGTCCAGCACCAAGATAGCAAGGACATCCTCCAGCACAACCTGAAGGAAGAAACCTTCTTAAAGGCGCAATGATTGGGGCCCCATGATTTTTTAAACCCCCCAAAATTCTGTTCTGTTTTTTCCCATTTTAATTTTTCTCCATTCTGTTTTAATGGTATAATTACATTTCAGTAATCACAAAAGCATGTCTAATTATCTGAAATCATGAAACTTACACAATTTAACATCCAGTTATTAGAAGTATAAAAAGTTAAATTTTTTTTATTCCCTCAATAGAAACGCTGCTGTTTTGTACGATGATTGTTTTGTTTTTTTCAGTGATATGTGATATGCTTAAAATCTATGTTAAACTATACACAAATAAAAACCAAACAACATCCTTTGATAAACAACACCTACAGCATTTTCATTTTCTTGCATTGCCTGCGTTTAAAAAAAAAACCTAGCATCATATGACCTCTGATTCATTGCAGTATAGTGATTAATATCTATGATTTAACATAAGAGACAGCTGAGCACTAAATCCGAGGAAGCCGCACCTGGAATATCTCAAAGCCAGCAATGTCCAGGATGCCAATGAAGGAAGCTCCCTGGCGCTTGGTCCTGTCCAGAGCTTTATTAATGCGGTGAACAAGCCAGCGGAACAACCTTTCGTATGTGGCCTTGGCCAGTGCTTCCACTGCAAAGTCGGCCTGGTCAGAGGAACAGAGAGACAGGATCAGACAAAGGGAAAAAGATGACAAAAACTTCACTTTTGGAAAAAATATGCAATATAATATATGATCACACTATTATTACACAGATACAAAAGTAGGTTTGGGTATCAAGAACCTGTTCAATTTTAGAACCAGTTCCAAATTTCCAAGAAATCGTGAATTCAATAGGACACAAAATTGAAATTTTTATTTTTTTTTTACCTAATTGGAATAGATAAGCAGAATCAGAATAGCTAAAATTAAAATGATACCCAACTCTAAAAATGGCATGCAAAACCTGAAAGGACCCTCTAGAGGAAGTTTTTTTTTAAATTCAATAGCACTTATTATTTTCCAAACAGATTTCCCAAACACTCCTCCATCTGTAGAATCTGAACAGTTATGATGACATTTTAACGACAGGAGACTAGCAGCCTATTGTTGTAAATGGACACAGTGGTGAAAAGGAAATGTGACCAGAACAAAAGGACAGCAATGGTCTACGATCAGGTCTGACAGGATCCAAGAGGTAAAACACTAATGAAAAGCTTCACAGCTGAGAGGGTGGGTGATCTGACAGATATACAGTGGAGAACTGAAAAGCTCATTACCTGTTCTTTAGTTTGGGCTTTTTGTACATAGTCTCTGCCCACTTTGATTCTTGGAGACAGGATGGCACGTGTGAACTCCATGACATTTATTCCAAGCAGGTGGCAAAGCTTTTGAGCAGCTGAGAAACAGAAAGAAAAAAAAACACTCTCACAAAATGGTCCTCTAATGCAAGCGGACCAAAAATGGTGACATTCTTTTTCTATTTATAGGATTTTAGAAGCTTCCCCTATGCGCATAAATGGTGGTGAGAGAAGCTATTATGGGACATTTTTGCTCACGAGTATAAGGTATTTCAAATAAGTCAAATAAGTTATTGCAATTTACTGACTTCTAAACCCTTACATCCCGTTTAGTAGCCAAACAAACCCCAAGAGTTCCCCTTTAGGACCACCAGCGCGACTAACTTTACAGCTTCAAGACGTGAGTGACTTAAACAGATGAAAGTTTCAATATTGTACCATGAATGGTGATGATAAAAACAAATTAATCAAAATGCCAGTGGAGTAAGCTTGCTGGAATGCATCATGGCGGTAAAACGGTCACTTTTGGGGCTCTTACGTAAACACGTTTGATTTAACGCAACTTAGCACAACTATTCTGTTATATTCTTTTAATATGAAACACATCTATTGAAACCTTTAAAACACAGATGTGTACCTGTGTTTTCTGGCATAGAGGCCTGGTCGGTGTTTCTCTCCTTCTTGAACACGATGTTGCCAAACTGCAGGACTGCTGATACCACCTTGAGCATTGCTGCAGTGAAAAAAAAAATAAAAATGGGACAAGACTGTCAACAGTATGTGGGTAGTTGACATGAAATATTTTTTGGAAGGTTGATGTCCTGCAGTGTGGCTTATATTCAATATAAAACCAGCATGTTGTTGATTCTTGTATACTTACTAGGGATGTCAAATGATTACAACATTAACTTAAGATTATTCCTTTTTTTCCCATATTTATCACTTTCTGTTTCATTTGAAGGGTTCAGATATTCAGATATAAGAATGAGGTCTACATGATGAAACTGGACAGGTAGATTTATGAAGTTTTATTCCCTCAAAACAAACATTTCTGAATGGCATTAAATTAAACAGTAAATGGTATGTAATTTAATTCAATAATAAAATAACTAAACTAGAAATAAAATAATAACCATCCTTTGTGGACTTAATCATACATAAAATTCTGCAAGCTCTCCTGGTTTTTGCAACATTTTGATGAATAATTTCAATAATTTCAATTATTTGTTATTGAATAGTTTCAATAACAATTACATTTTACCAAGAGAATGGAAATGACTTTCATTAAACATCCCATCTGGGTTTAATTTATATATACATAATCTGTATAAAAAATACAAAATAAATCATGTATGTGTAAGCAATTTTGCCTTTCACTTCAACTCTCAAGTTCAAATGTCACAGAACAGAATTAAACAGTTAAATTGTGTACTAAATTGTCAGAGTTTAAACAAATTTAACTAAACCAAATGTTAACTGCATGCATTAAAATAATAATAGGGTTGTCAAAGTTATCAACTCATTAATGGAGAGACCACAAGAGACTCTTGTACTGTAAATTCACTGACCATTTCAAATGCCACAGTGAAGGCAAAAAGGTGTGCAATGTGTTTTTATGATGATTTATTAGTATGCAGGTATAAAACAGCAGTAAATATACAATGTAGTAGAGGCGTGTTTGTTTCATGAACGCTTACATAAGATTTCATCATGGGAGAAGCTCATAATATGCATGGCTTCCATGGTCTCTTGGAAATTGTCCTTGTCCTGTCGGCCAGGAATGGGAATGTTACCGTTGGAGAGGAAGCGGTAGTTATTGAAGCCCTCCAGGAGTAGATCAGCTGCCAGAACAACAAGAGTATTAGTAACACAGCTGCAATCTTCTCTAGACACCAGACTGCACCATATTCTCCATAATCAGTCTGATGCCTTCACACATTAGCTGGGTTTCCATCCAAAGTTGCGGATTTAACTTGTGTAAAATTGGAATATCACATAAGACATTTGCGAAAAAACAGTTTCCATCCAACAAATCAGAGAGAACTAAATCGTCACTTCCTGATAAACTGGCACTAAATATCACTAAGATAAGTAGGAGAAGCCACTGAATATAATAATTTTCATATATAATAAATTACTTGCACGTCAGAGTGAGCAGACGAAACACAATAAATGCGGTCATTGCTTTCGGAGGTGGATGCTGCTGTTTGGGAACGCAGTCGTGTAAGACAGTTCTGGGAGGCAATTATACAGAAATACTTTGACTACAGCCTTTGCTCGGGCATTTAAGAATGACCATAACAACATTTCAAATGATGTGCAACAAGATCGGTCAGCTGGTTAGTCAGGTTATGCCGTCCCATAGCGCAAAGTCACATTACTTTTTTGATGTGCATGGAGGAATTTATTCGGCAAATGCGTTTCTATCGCTATTCGCATTAACCCTTTTTTTGCACAAGTCAAAAACCAACTCAAGCAAGTGTAAAAACTTTGTGAATTAAGGGATTTTTCTTTTCTTCTTCAAAATTTGGTGTTTCTGTCACTCGTTTCTGATGCGATACTTCAAAATGCGAATAAAAACTGGGTGATGGAAACATGGCTATTGTGCAGCTCCCAATCTCATTGCTAAAAACTCTGACTAAAAAGCTTATAAGCATGTAAATAGAAATACTCACATCTTAGATGTTCTCCAGCACCAGCCAACAGCTGGTAGAAGACATGGAAGGTGCGTTCATCTTTGGCTTGGCGAATGGCCCTGGACTTTTCAAGAAGATCTTGTAACTGAGTTAAGGGCAAGCAAAGTCCATTTTACAGCTCATTTTTCAGTTTACATCAAATCACAGCTGTACAGCTTTTTGTGGCACTTAAATGTGACATTTAAACATCATAAAACTAATTTACAAACATTATAATTTGTTTGACTTGATTTTTATTTGTAAAATACATTTATTTGTAAAATAAAATAAAAAAATTTTGACACATCAAAACCAGCTTATGATGTGGTCTCTCTGTGGCATACTAATTATACAATAAATAACTGTGTTTCTAACTGCAGCGATAGTAACCGTTTAAAGTAGTTTCACTATTCTAAAAGTCCATAAAAGGTCAATTTGCATACATTTACTTCTGTTGAAAAATAAAGACACACACAGAAATTCACCCATTTCATTTGATCTTACAGCTGTTTGCGGCATTGCTTAAATGTAATGAAATGATTATCAGATCAGGATACAGGTTTCGATGTTGGCCCCCACAATGTAACCGGTTACATCAAAGTTGATGCGGATGAACTTGCCCTGTGGAAAAACACATAATTAAGATGTGTATTTTTTTCTATGATGTGCTTATACTGGTCATGCTTTATAAACCATGCCATTGCAACTATCTTTAGATATAGGCCCAATCAACATTTTTAAGAATCCATTTGAACAGATGGTTGTCTCTCTATCGTTTTAACAGAAGGGCTTATGCATGCATCATATGCATGCAGCACATGTTTAACCAGCTCTACTTAAAAGGAATCTGTACTTAAAGCATGCGTAAAAGGCTAACAAACACGCTTATTTGCAGCAAATGCCATCAAAATAATTACCTAAAGGAAGAAACAAATTCCTCTGTGGCTGTTGATTTATTTGTATGCTTAAAAGTAGGGTTGGGCCGATAGACGATGACCGACATCACGATGTTTAGCCAGCATCGTGATCCCCCCCTCCCCCATACCCCCCACAATCCACCGCATCCCAATTCCATGTTCAGAAAGGAAATTAAGTGTACTACAAAACCCCTAAAGGGAATAAATAGCCTACGAGATGGGAGGATAAAAAAATATTTCAATACTTTCTCTCGCAATTATATCGTTGGGTAATTATACTGTATATAAATTGCGGGCATCAGGGAGCCTTAATATGCAGGGCATTGAAACCGCTTTCGAATGCGTGCTCTCGTTTTATTTTCACTTTCGAGATTCGCGATCACACGGACTCTATACTAATAGGCTGATTATTCTTATAGATTGAAACGTGCATTAACCAGGATAACGAGTATGAAACATGCTCCGAGTTGCTTCAGAAAAAAAAAATAAATAGCAACAACAAAAGCATGTTGCTGGAAATGGGCTTATTATTTAAAGTGCAAACTGATTGTCTGCCAGCAGGAGGCGCTGATTAGTGATGGGAAGTTTGGATCATTTTACCGACTCGGACCACTCGTTCAGCAAAATGAACAAATCTTTTTTCGAGTCATTTCGTTCATTTTAACAAAATATAATTAAAATGTTACGTGTTACTTCCCTAATACGTCTACTACTTACGCAAACGTTGATCACACTACAAACAATACAAAACTGCTATAAGAAACAGAAAAGATTAATTCATTGTTTACCTGAGTCTTCAGTCTATGATTAGCTCACCACCTCTTATCTGACAAGTCTTCGGGTTTGGGCTTATGGGGCTGTCACGTGATGAACGAATGGCTCGGAAAAACCCGAAGACTCGACATGAATTAATCAATTCTCTTTCCGGCTCAGACTGCATAGGTTAAACTTATGGGGCTGTCACGTGATGAACGAACGACTCG